GCCGGGAAGACCGGCTCCGGGTTGGGTCGAGCGTCCGGGCGCGGGATGGACTGAAGCCGCGGTGCCCCTCCGAGGGGGTGGGTGGGAAGGGGTCACGGTGCGGAGAGAAGCGCACGGGAAGGAGGCGCCGGCGAATTCGGGGTTCCGCTGGAAGAGAGCGCTTCGCCGGGGCCATGGATTCTGGACCCCTGCTGCTGAGCGTTTTCACTTTGCTCTTCTCCGGCTTGTGGCATCCGGGATTAACAGCGACAAATTGTAAGTCTCCCTCCGGAGCCCGGGGTGGTGGGGAGATGGGAAGCGCTACCGTTTGACAGGCCAGCGTGCTCAATTGTGTCTGCTCTGAGCAGAGGGGAGGGGAAATGCTGGTTAGTGTGGTTCCATCACTCTTCCCATCCCAAAAGTTAGCGGAGCTCGAACGACCCGGCCCCCTGGATTTTCTGCCCTCTCCCCAACCTCAAAGTTCAGGGAGAAGGGAGGGGTCTGTGCCCTCACCGCCCGCTGGCCCCGCGTTCCAGCCCCGGTCAGTCGGGTCGTCGCCGCCAGGGCTGCTCCCGGGAAGGCCCGGGTTCAGGTTGTCTGCGCCGCCGGGCTGAGCTTGGGGATAGAGAGTCTCCCAGCCACCGCGCCTGGTGGCCGCAGCTTCCTCTGCGAATGCGGCTGCCCAGGGCTTGCAGGGTGCCTGGTGCCCCCCAAGACCTGGCTCTCAGCTCTCTGCTAGGAAGAAGGCACCGGTTGGGGTGTCTTGCAACCAATGGACATCGGTTTACAAGGACAGGGAATTTGGCCTAAGAGTCATGGCCCGGTGTAGTCAAACCACAAGATCAATGGCTGTCCCTGTTTCAGAGGAAGCCCTCTGATGCACACCCCACCCCAATTCTTGTGCCAAAGGACACACTAGGAGTGCGCACTGAAGGTACACACTGTTCTCCAGGCTCTAACCTCTGCAAGTGCCGAGCATTTAATTTAATAGGCAGGAAGGCTGGACACCTGGGGATCCGCCACCTGCACTGTGTATTTAAAGAACTCAGTTTGTCAAAGTTGAATACATCTCTAGAACCATCAGAGGTTTCAGCTCAATTGCTCAGCTGCCTCTCTAGGCAGAGAAGGGGAAGTTTTCCAGCTCTGGAAACTCTTAAATGAGAACGAATGCCATTAAGCCATCTGTGTTTTTCCAACGATGGTTTACCAAGGTTCTTCAATTTTCTGGGCTTGCTTCTCTATCTGCTAACCCCACTGGAACCTCAGACACATTTACTCATACTTTCTAATACTATTGCTTGTAATCGGAACCATTTCTGAAAGTAAGGCAACGCTATACCATGAGTCCCTCTTCTTCACTCCCACCTTCTTAGGTTTGAGAAGGCCTTGAGTAAGACAGTCAAAGGAAGAGACTTCGACAATTGTTATTTACTGAAAACTCTCCAAAGCGGAGCCAGTGTTTTTATCTGTCTTTGGAAATTGTAGACATTCAGAATCTATAGCTAGTGGTAATGCTTTCTAAAGGCTTTATTAAAGTTTGAATTCTAAAGCAGTACTGACGAGGTCATCCTCTCTAAAAGGGAGGTCCTACAGGCTTTAGATTAGAAATTGTTTCAGAGAACAGGTAAGGACAGGCTATAATCTAATTTTTATCCTCCTCCTCCTCCTCCTCCTCCTCCTCCTCCCCCTCCTTCGCCACCTACCCCTGGTTCTGCTTCTTTTCCTTCTTTTAAGTGGAATTGTTCCCATGATGCTTTAGAGAAACATCTAAATCCTTTAGTAAGAGGAAGTTAGGCATGGTGCTGAGCTATCTCTCTACCTCCGGGAACACTAGAGGTCAGTATTGTCCCAACAATGCAAAGGTGCCGCGGAGAAATCCGTTTTCCTTGGGCACATTCACCTCTGAGAATAGTGAATATTCTAAAGACACACAAAGATGGAGTGAGCAGTAGTGGTGAAACAGGTAGAACGTACTCTATAGGAATGTGATTTGGGTTTTATTACATAGTCCATTTTCTTAAGAGGAAGGAAAAATATAAGTCATTGAATGGCATTTTCTGTAAATTAATTGAATGATGGTTAATATGTTATAATAACGATTATAAAAGTATTATGGTATTAATTTAAGGCTCATGATTATCATTACTAATGCAGCAATAAAGCTTATTCTGAAATTTAAAATAAAACTTTGTGATAATGAGCTTTAATATTTCATCACTGACAGTTTAATTTCCTTATTTCCAATCAACACTTCAATTGAATGCACCCTGCTTGCTAAATACTTTAGGGTCAGTGTTCTTAAAAATTAATGATGAATGTCTTTGTTATTCTGAACAAAATGGATTAAGTGAACAATAGTCTAGCAGGAGAAAATTACTTCTGAACTCAGTACCTCTTGGTTGGCTTCAGACCTGTGATGCAGAGCCTCTAAGGAAAGATAGAAAAGAGCTCTCTACAGTTCTCCCAGACCTCGACCGTCCTGATCTTCACCCATCAAATACAGGGCTTTCATTTTCTAGCCATTCCAACCAGTTAACACTCACATGCATATGTTGAACAATAGTCCATTTGTACAAGTATATAAATTATTTTAATAAATTCTTTTTTTCAAATTTATTCCTTCTATATTTTGAAATAATATTTCATGTCATTTGTGTCAGTAGGCTTGAAAATAGATTAATTATCCAAAATGCTTCATGGTGTCTGTGTGCTTGTGAACTTTGTTCAAGTAAAATCAACTTTTGTTTCCATTCTCTAATAATAATTTATTGTTGTTGCTATTGTTGTGTGTGTGTGTGTACTTTTCTCATAATCTTACCAAATTTTGGCATTTATCTGCAGGGGGAAAATGAATGCTTACCCAATTATATATTTTATACATTTCTAATTAAATAAAATTTAAATAAAGTTGGGTTAGAAGGCCACTACAGTACAAATATTATGAATTTGTGCAGAGAATATAATTATCAACCAGTAATAAAAACTCTGAAAATTCCCCCATTCCAGATTTTCAGGATATTAAATAGCTACAGCACATTCTTTGGATTTACCCTGAGGGGATTAGTTAATTTCATATGTAGATATGATAGGCCAGTGTCAAATGAAAAACCTTTTTACATATAAAATCAACTCATTTGACACACACACAAAAACAATGTAGCCTAATAGTTAATTAAAGTGAAACCAGGATTTTGAAATGCCATGGAGTTCTAGCCCTAGTTATGCCACAGCTAAGATGTCAAATACCCATCAGGTTATGCAACCTTCCTATGCTCACATGCTTGGGTATAAAATAGCAATTGAGATGTGTATCCTATACAGATCAGCTAATTAATATTTTACTGAGGATATTCTTCAAATATTAGATATGTTGAAAGAACATTATGATGGGAGAACTTGAATTCTGAAGATAAGATAAGTGCATGGGATAGCAGTGTCACTATTCACTTATTTTTTTTTAACAATACTCAGATGTTATGTGATTATAAAGACCCTTAATTTTCATCAGTAAGTATCTTATCTGTTTGTTGTTACATATTAGGTTAACACAGATAATAACCTTGGAAGAGAAACACAGGAACTCTTTATCCTAGCCCTCCATCATAGAACTTCATCTAAAATATACAAGGATGCCAATCATGTTCATAGAGACCTTCAAATAAAGGATGCATTGTAGCTTCAGTTATCTGATATTGATGCACCGGCCCCATCGATAGATAATATTACAGACAAGCAAAGGTTAGGTTGATTTCTCTCATCAGGAAAGTGTTTGCAGTATACTTTTTGTGGTATTGTAGTCAGCAAAAGTGAAAGAAGTATATAGTGCTCATTTAGAAGAGTCCTAAAGATTTTCCCATGGTTGAATGGGCTTAATTTTGACCATCCATTTGAATTTTCTTTCCTTTCTATTCACATAGCCTCTATCTCCAAACCAGATTCCTGTTTATACTATTGGAAATTTTAAAGGAAATACTAGACTAGCAATTTTCACACAGAATTATGAGACAATTTATATCCATAGGAATATGCTCCCCCTCCCTTATTCTCAAGCCAGTGAATGAATGTTCTCTAAATTGCAAGTTTTCATTTTTCCTTCGTCACTTTGCCCCTTTTTTCTGTAGTTTGATCCAGTTTTCCTTTATAACATTGCTTTATTTTTCAGTGGCTGTTTGTTACAAAACAAAATAATGTGATATATTGTTTGAAATACTTCTAAAAACCTTTAGAATGTGATCAAAACCTCTTAGCTTATATGGCAGAAATCTGTTGAAATATGGCTTTTATACATGAGCTAATTATCCTTTTCATATAAGAAAGTAAGGGGAAGGTCTAGTTACCTGAAAGACCAGAATAGCCACTCGCTCAGTAGGACTTTATATTGAATCTTCAATGTACTGGTTTGGAGCCAATAATGGCATTTTTAATGCAGAAGGGAAGCTGTCTTCATTCATCAGCGCTCTGACACTGTCTGGCTGGTGTCCTTGTGAAGGTTATGGACATATCCTAATGTTCTTGATGTATTAAATAAAGAAGTTGGATCAAATTATTATTAAGGACCTATCTCATCATAATGTATTCTTGCCTGCTGATGTTGCTTACTGGTCATTCCATTTGGATACTTCAGAAATAATTGTACTCAAAATTGTTAAACAATTTTATTTATAACAACAGCATAATAGGGTTTTAATTTCTACTAACTGCTTTGTACTTTGTGTCTCTCATTTCATATACTAAGTCCACATAATTTGGCCAGGCAACACTACTAGGTAGACTTTATTAAATTCACTTTACAGATGAGTACATTTAAGGTTAATAGAAGTTAATAATTTCTCCAGGATCATAAAGTTAAGCAATGAAAAAAATCAGGATCTGGAACTATATCTACCTATCTCCACCGACCACACTCTTTACAATATATTAAGTTGGTTCCCATGAAGTTAGGCTCTGTGTGAGCATCTGTGGAAAGTTCCTTGGGATTCCTAGGATTAGTCTCTAGCTCTATCCTCAGCAAAGGGCATGGAGGTCCAGTTTTCACCAGAGCCAACTCTTAAGTCATTCCTTAAAGAAGCATCCGAACATTTGCAATCTATACCTAATGCAAGTATCCAAGTGTTACAATGATAAGAGATAAGAGGCCTCACATCTGACATGTACCAGATGCTTTATTATTTTATAAATTTCTATAAAAATGTGATAAGGAAACAGCATAAACTGGATAAAGACTTGTGACCACACACATACATACACACACACTCACTCACACCCCAATGCCTGAA